GGCCGCACGCATGCTAGGCGAGCGCGCTACCGCTTGAGCCACATCCCCAGCCCCAACAAAGTTATTCTGAGAATGTTTCTCCATGCTTGAAAAGATTAAGCTGCCGAGAGGATGTGTTTCTTTTTTGCTGTATAAAAGAAGAAGGGAAAAAATAAAGAGGTGCTCATTTCTACTGGGTGTGTGTGTGTGTGTGTGTCTGTGTGTGTCTTTCAGCATCTCTGCTGTAACAGGAACTACAGTGGATTCTGACATGAGAGGGGGGCTCAACAGTAACAGGTTTATTTGGGACAAAACTGAAGCCAGAATTAGACAGGCAGCAGGTATAGATAGGTAAATTGAGTCAGGTCAGATTAAGGAGGACAATTTGAGCCTGGGAGGTTGAAATGCCTTCAGAGTTCTTCCTCCACCCTATCAAGATAACCTGCCCCAACTCCAACCTGTTGCTAAGGTAACCTGTTCCAGGAATTGCCTCTCCCTACAGGGGGTTATAAACTTAATGAATGTGTTCCAGGCTGCTCCATCCTGCCCTCCACCCTTCCCCTGTCCTCCTGCTTCTCACCTTTCAGCCATCCCACTGAGCATCTCCTGAGGTATACAGGAAGGAGAAAAATAAGGGGAAGAGAGAACAGAGGAAGCCTAGGATTATAAAAAAGCAAAACACCCCTCACTTGTTGGAATACCAGATACCAGCTATGGCCCCCTTCTCCCTCCTGGGAAAAGTCCATGCTACTTACCCCTTTCTAAATAAACCCTGCTTTATATATTTCCTTCTCTAATGTTACACTTCAACATGTGAGGGAGAGCACTCACCAGCAACCACCAGTATCAAAAACTGTGTGTGTGGGGGGTCCCAATGAGACTGAAGCCTGCCTTCTGACTCAGAGCCGTTGCTAGGGAGTTGTCAGGAAAGGGTTCTTGTGATTGTCACATCATTATTTGTGATGTCACTGTTCATATCAAACAAGGTGTTTCTCATCATTTTAGTACCAAATAACAATTCCACTGTCTGGGGTTTATTAGGTCAGGCTGACTGTGGTTGTGGGTCAGAATACCTGTGAGATGACTATTGTTCCAAGATGGAGGATATGTTTCAAAAACGGCATTGCCCACACCAAGTTCTCCCTATCAGAAGGGACACCTAAGGATTTAACTCTGGAAGTTCGTCATTCCCTGGAGTCCCTCCTCAGTGTGGAAACTCTCTCAATGCCTTACTATTCACCAGAGAGACACTACTGTAAGAGTAAAAGAAATTGAAGTTAAAGTGTAAAAGACCGGGCATTGTAAATTTCCAAGCTGCAAAAAAAAGTGAAGGACCAGGTATTGTTAAATTCCTGTGTTAGGACAATACCCGAACTGCCCAGTAAATATTCCTCCTGATCCTCTGGCTGTTTAATAACTAAGGGCTCTGAGTAGC